CCGCTTCTTCTTCTTCTTCTTCTTCTTCTTCTTCTTCTTCTTCTTCTTCTTCTTCTTCTTCTTCTTCTTCTTCTTCTTCTTCTTTGTACTATCCTTTTGTGGCAGGCAGATTATTAGAAGTTTGTCTACATTTTAGTCTGTAGAACTTATAAATATGTAATGTTACGTGGGAAGGAGGCCTTGATGTTGACCACAGAATTAAAATTAATTTAAAAACTTCCTATTGTCACCAAGAAACAACTTACTGGTAAAGATACCCACACACTCTTAATCAAAACATGGTGGGGTGCTATGGGATGGTCTGTGTGTCAAATTGCTCTGATTGGTCAATAAATAAAACACTGATTGGCCCGTGGCTAGGCAGGAAGTATAGGCGGGACTAACAGAGAGGAGAAAAGAAAGAACAGGAAGGCGGAAGGAGTCACTGCCAGCTGCCGCCATGACAAGCAGCAGGTGAAGATGCCGGTAAGCCACGAGCCATGTGGCAAGGTATAGATTTATGAAAATGGATTAATTTAAGCTATAAGAATAGTTAGCAAGAAGCCTGCCACGGCCATATAGTTTGTAAGCAAAATGAGTCTCTGTGTTTACTTGGTTGGGGCTGAGTGGCTGTGGGACTTGTGGGTGACAAAGATTTGTCCTGACTGTGGGCAAGGCAGGAAAACTCTAGCTACAGTGGGGGTGGTGTCATTGAAGCAAACAAACTAAAAATAACCTGACATAGATATTCCACTATGTGATAACATTAAACTCCAACCAAAATTAGTCAGAAGAGATGATGAAAGCTATTCTACATTAATAAAGCAACAATCCATCAAGAACATATAACAATTGTAAACATGTCTTCACCAAACGTTTGAGACAACAAAGAGACAAAGATTTTGTTTTTCATAGTGATGAACAAAATTGACACACCTTTAGCCCAACAAACCAAAGGAAAACAGAAATTAATAAAATTAGAGATGAAAAGACAAACCTTACAATAGATACTAATGAGAGAGAGTTGGGCCATTCAGGAGTATTTTGAAACCTATATTCCCAAAACTGGAAAACTGGAAGGGAATGGAGAGACTTCTAGATACATAACTTACCAAAATTCAACCAAGAGAACATTAAACAGATCTCTAAGGAGCAAACATTTCTGGGCCTGGAGTTTTACTAATGAATCTGTTTATTTTTACAAAAGGCTGTTTAGGTAGTCTATTTCCTCAGGAGTCATTTTGAAAATGCATACCACTCAAAGAATTGAGATTTAATCAAGTTGTCCAGTTTGCTGTCAGATATAAACTGGACATTTTCCCATATCATCCTATTGTGGTAGGGATGCTAAAAGAAATATACCTACAGTTTTGACTGTGAAACTAGTAAAGGCTTGCAGTCAAATGAAAAAGAACCTCTTAAAGTCACACATCTTTAATCCCAGCACTAGGAAAGTTGATACAGGAAAGGATATGGATGGGCAGAGAAAGGAATATAAGGCGTGAGGAGACAGGAACTAAAGTCTTCCGGCTGGAGCTCTTTCGGGCTGAGGAGTTGGTGAGGTAAGAGGTGGCAGCTGCGGCTTGCTCTGCTTCTTTGATCTTTCAGCTTTTGCCCCAATATCAGGCTCTGGGTTTTTTATTATAAGATCTTTAGAAATTTGAGTTGTAGTATCTATTTTCTTGTTTATTTGCTATCTTTGTGCAGTATATCTGTTCTATATTTACTTTAGCCTGATCTACACTTGTATTTAAAGTGGTTCTGTTGTAGACTGCGAACAGAACAGTGTTGTTTTTTTCTTCAATATATTTCAACAAAGTTGACATTTTAATTGGACCTCTTAAGCCATTTACATTTTATCTGTGTATTGATATGGTTATTCTTATGTCTGTCAATTTGCTGTTTACTATTTTCTTGCTTGTTTTTTTGGGGGGGGTGGGGGGGTCTCCTTCCCTTGTATATTTTTAATTAAATGTGGATATACTACTTTCCACTTCTGGCTTATTATCACTTAGTTATATGATTACAAAATAGTCCTCGGGCTTAGAATGCACTCATCACTTCCACAGTCTGCTGGTAAAAAGAATGCAGAACAAGTTGGGTCTCTTCTTCCACCATGTGGCTTCTGGGCTATGGCTCAGGGCCTCGGGCATAGAGGCAGGTGTCTTAATCCTGAGCCTTCTGGTGACTTTCCTGTCACAACTGCACCTCAGCAAGCTTCTTGTTTGCCTCCCTCTCTTCATTTTGTCTCTGTCCTCATTGTTCTCCTAATCACTCCTAGGGATGAGGCGATAATCACACTTTTTTATGTCCCTCAGAAATCTCAGAAACTGGGCTGGAGAAATGGCTCCGTGTGTTAGAGTGTCTGCCACAAAACGATAAGGGCCTGAGTTCAAAGACAAGGAGGTGGAAGGCCGGCATGGCCACACTGAGGAAGGGGTGAAGACAGGAGGTACCAAGGTATTCTGGCCACAGTCATAGCTCCAGATTCAGTGAGAGACCCTCCACCAAATGAATAAGGAATATCATGAAATAGTAAGATACCTGACATCTTACTTTGGCTTCTATACATGAACAAGCACACCCATACTTACACACACACACACACACCATTTGCACATATGCCATACGCAATACACCACACTCATACAACATACATACATACATCCACACAGTAACACACACCACACACAAGAAATCTCAGGGACCATCTCAAACTTACTTGTAAAATTTGGCTGAAAAATTAAGTCCTAAAAATGACTGGTTCATAGATTCATATGTACTTTTCAACTAATACGGGGAACATCCATTTCTAATTAGAGCATCATGGCTCACTGCTAGATTTCTAGTGCACATTTTAACAGTTACAACTAATATTTCTATAATTTACATTTGCTTCACCAAATCCTTAAAGCCCTCTGTCTTAATTTATATTTTAACATTGTAACAGGCCCCCAGACCTTAGCACAACTGATGCCATGACAGAAGTACCATTCAGGCCACACAACTTAGCACATAAGCAGCACAACAAATTTCATACCAAAAGGAAAACAAGGGCCTGATTTACCAAAATCCATAGTGCTAGGAATGTCCCAATATATACTAACCTTGCTCTTTTTGCTTCTGTGGTTCCACTTCTGGCTAATTTTTCTTGTTGACTAAGTATGTCAACCCAAGATGTGGGTTTTATACTTATAAACTCTGAGGAAGGCTCGGGACTGCATTGGGATAGCAAACACCTAAATAATCACCAGTCAGCTAATAAAAAAAAACTTTCTTTTACTTTCTTTCTTTCTTTTTTTTATATGTGTGTTTCTAATTTTCTTAAGAATTTATTTATTTATTACACATACAGTGTTCTGCCTGCATATTTTCCTGGACACCAGAAGAGGGCACCAGATCTCATTACAGATGATCATTACATGAGCCACCATGTGTTTGGGGAGAAATAAACTCAAGACCTCTGGGAGAGCAGCCAGTACGCTTAATCTCTGAGCCATCTCTCCAGCCCTATAAAAGACAT